TTCATTTTGCACTACAGTAGCCTCCTGTCTTTAAGGAAAACATCTTTTTTTCTCTTTTTTTTTTTTTTTTCACTAGGCAAATTTGGCTTTTCTTTTCCTTTTCTTTCCTCTGGTGATGCCCTTTCTGATCCCAAGAGCAGATAGCTGAGCAGAAGCATGGACAAAACCTGGGAGAGCCCTAAAGAGCGTGGGGAAGCAAATTCTTTTTGCACTCAAACTTCGGGAGTTGAAAGTAGAGGACATGGCTGGAGCCACTAAGCTGTGGTGTAAACACGGCCATTTAAGAGGATTTGCATACCATTTATTAACCTTCCAGAGGAACTACACAGACCCCAGTCAGGGAAAACAACTGTGTACACATGTTCCTTCCATTCTTGTTATCGAAATATAGCTTCTGCCAGCCACCCCCCAGCATTTTGCACAGGCAGATAAATATTGGGAACAGGAAGAGGATGGGTGGATCCAGACTCTTCCCTGTCCCCTTTGGGTTTCGTGAGGTCTGGAATTCATTTTTAGCTATGTTTCAAGAAGGAAGGTGTAAGCAAGCACCTGCTGTGCTTCAGGTATTTGTCAACACCCAGAAAGGAAGGTGATCCTGTGACCCAGGCAGGAAGGATTGTGGATGTGGGTGCTGGGTGCTGGTTTGGATCATCTGCAGTGCTGGGAGCTGGCAGAGCCTGCAGCACCTCACATGTCCTCAGGTTCCTCCTCCACCAGGGCCCAGTCTCACCTTCATCCTGATTTAGGATTTCTCCCTGTGCTACCACAGTTTGTGCCTCAGTTTCCTCAGGATCAAGTGGGGACTGCAAGGCCTCCTCCCCTCCCTTGGACACTCCCAGATCCCTCCTGGCCCTCTAAGCACCATTCCTTGTGCTCTTTCTGCTGTTACAGGCTGCATTTACTGCATGCATTTCTAGGTGCTTAATAAAAATTCTCAACAGCAAATTTTGCAGCCTCCTGGAAAGACAATCCTCTCTATATGGGCATATTACTGAGATCTCTTTTTGAGAAATACAGGAGAAACAAAAGCAAAAAAAGCCTGTCTCCACAGCAGTAATTAAACTGTGTACCCACACAGGGTAAGAGCAGACAGCAGGCACACAGACACAAATGGGGTGGGGAGGTGTTGGATGGAGAAATTCCAAAGGCACCAAGTGCCCCAGCTCTCACAGAGCTTGAGTTGCATCCCGCAAAAACCTCCCAGCCTGCTTTCTTTTGGGGTGGCTGTGCTTCATGGAGGGCATGAATGGGAGGAGGTACAAAAATACCCTGGGACTTAGGAGATACAGATGCTTATCCCCATCCTACCACGTATTTGCACAGCTCCAGAGTCCCTCCAGCTCCATCTGCACCCCCTGGAGATATGGCCTTGATCCTACAACCTGCACTTGGAACCAATGGTGGCTTTGAGCATGGCCCTGTCTTGGTGTCCCTGTGCCTTAGCAGGAGTCCTGGTGCACTGGGACTGCATGAAGGTGGATGAATTGCTATGAATTTTCCTGGAAAGCCCAGATTTCTGTGCCTGAGAATTCTCTGCACCATTCCAAAGAGCGAAGGCGTGAGCTGAGTTTGGAGCTGGGGGGGAGTGGGGGTGAAGATCAAACATCATCATGAAGGTGCCAAAAAGGCATCAGGGAGCCCTCCAGCCCCTGCTCCTTCCCCACCACACACAAACACTCTCAGGCTTCAAAGCTTAGTGCAAGGATGTTATTACCTTTAAATAAATAAAAACAGAAAAGAAAGCTCGTTAGAAGAGATTTTTTTCCTCTGCAATTTCTTCTGGTTTTTTACTTTAAACACGTTTCATTCATTTTACTCCTTGGTTTACTAATACATTTTTTTTCTTTCATAGAACAGCATGTTTTAAAGTTTACTCTGCAAGCACTGCATAGGAAAAGCTTTAAAATAAAGCTCTATAATTGATTTTTTCCTTGATTTTTGGTTAAACTACAGGACCTATGCTGCCGTTATAGGGTTCTATAAAACCCTATTGTTATGTGTTTGTTATTCAGGTTATAATTTATTTTAAGAATAGCTTCTTTAAACTCTTAATGCAATAAAACCCACTTTCATAATAGCTACTCTACCACTAAAAATCCAACAACACCTTCCAAAACACAAGGTGATCATGCAATTGAGGAAGAAATCCTGACATCCAATATGTCGAAGATATGTTTGGAAAGTTTAATTAATGTAAGACAGAAAGCAAAAAAGAAAGTTCTGAAATCTCTCCCAGCAATCACATACTTCACAGTGTAGTACAAATGCAGTTCCAAGGGCTATTTTTAGCCTGGCACACACGGGTATATTGTTACCCAGCCTGCTGCTAGAAGTAATTTTAAATATCTTTCTGATCAAAGAAGATGCTATATTCAAGAGCAGGCACAGAAGTCATCCTTATCTTGCATTCTCCATGAGAACATTTGACCTTCCTGATTTGGGTTCATTTGAGAAGAATTTGCTGGCTGCTGGAAGATCTGCATCTCATGTAGAATGATTATAATAAAAGTTGGTATCACAAACCCTACACAGAGCAGAATTCTCTTTACCTACCAAAAGGTGACATTTTCCAAGCTGTTACCTAGAGAGCAAAGGACAAATGGAAAAGATCAGTCACATAAAAGCAGCATTATCATAACATCCCATGGCAATTTCAGGGTCTTTTGAAGGCCAGATGCTTCTGCTCCATATCTAAATTTCCTATAATAAGAGACTCAATGGAAACACAAACGTTGCAAAGTAAAAAATCCTGGCTAACCTGCAATTTCAAGTAATTTTCTGTTTAGAATTGGTCAATGTTTTCCAGTGTGAGAGTGGAATGTTTTCCCTGCTGTGCCAAGGAGAGACAACAAAATATTGAGAGTGAAGTTGTACAAAATGCTGTGGACAGATTGGAAAAGTGGGACTGGCTCAGCTGGGTGGGAGCTGCAGGTGAGGCTGAATTCCCTCAAAGGGCAGGAATTGTCTGGCAGGATCCCACCTCATCCCTGACAGCTGCTTCACAGCAAACACAAGACACCCTAGGATTGATAATCCAAAACCTGGACACAGGAAAAGCTTTTTGGTGGTTTCTTCCCATGCCAAAGCAGACAACTTCCAATGCTTTTTAAAAACGTTTGGTTCTGCTGCAACATATTGAGTATATCTGTGGTTGGTATTCAGTGCTCAGACCCTCCTGGAGCCTCCAAAGGTTGCAGATCAAGGTTTAGGGTGAAACCCAAGAAAAGCCAGTCCCTCACAAGATCTGAGTGTGGTTTGGGCTCAGCAATGAGCGGCCTCTGGGAACACCCCCAGCAAGCTGACATATTCCAAACTCTGTGAGCTCCATTTCCTTGCACAGATGGTAACCTTGCATGGAAGGTCCACAGCGAACTCTAAAACTGTCATTTCAACCAAACCCTCATGTCGGCCCTGCCTTTCTTAGGCCAAAATCATGCCAGACTATCTGCAGGAGCTGGGGAAAGAGACTGGCTTTAGGGGAGTGCAAACTGACTTCATTGGAACTACTGCCAAGCCAGGCTGATGGAAATAAGAGGAAAATCACTGTCCTCCAGCCTGAATTCCCAAAGGAAGCAAAGCCTTTGCACAGCCCTGGTTCCCACTTGCTCAGCCAAAAAAAGAACAAAAACAAATAAGGAAGGCAGGGGACAACACCCGCAGAGTCTGACCAATGCATGGATCTACCTGGCCTTGTTCTGCTAAATCATCTCAAAATATAGGCTGGTTTCTTGGTTGTTGTTCTTTATTTATATATTTTGGGGGAGGGAAAAAAAAAAAAGGAAAGGAAAAAGAAAAAATCGATTCTTCTATGATTTACGGTGGGGTTAAGGCAAACGTGAAGCTCATGTTAAGGCTGTTCATCTCATGATAAGGCAGCAAAAAGGTCAACAAATTACTCTCTCCCTAATGGTTCATTTGAACCAATGAAAACAGGATATTTTATCCTCCCGGGTCAGGCCTCCTTAGAAATCCTACGTCCCCTTCCCTCCTTCCCTCCTCAGCCTCCCCCTATGCCCCCCTCCCTCTCTCCCACTCCCAGCCCCTTTCTTTTAACTCCCTATCTCTGATCCTCCAAGGTGACCTTTTCTCCCACTCCTAACACCAAATTTTCTGGCTGAGTGCTGCTGAGCGCTGCTGGCCGGGGGTCCCGGGGGCTCAGCCCAGCCTGGGGCCGGGCTGCTGCTGCTGCTGCTGCCCGGAGCCCGGGGCACGGAGCGGGGAGAGCCCTGCGGCTCCTGCCCCAGCCTGGGCCAGCTCCGTGTGCCCGTGGGAGCCTCAGCACCCGGAACCTCGCAGGGATGATCCAGGGCTCTGCTTGAGCCAGAGCTGGAGCAGCGAGCTCTAACTGCTGCCTATTAGGAATAGCTATCACATCTAATTGTTATCCTTGCCGCTGATTGAGGGGGGAAGTGGAGGGATGGGAAGTTCAGCCGGGTGACATGATGCAGTTTTAATGAGTCTCTCTTTTTCTTTCCCTTTTCTTCTTCCATTTTTTTTTTTTTTCCCCCCCCGGCCTGGCTGTTTTAATATGGAAATATATTAAATTCTAACAAAATCAGGCTGGCACGCCGAGCACAGACCGAAGGCAAACCTCCAGGAGGCTTTCAGCAGCGGCTGGGCAGCAATAGCAATACAGAAGCAATTAGTTCCTTAAGTTCTTTAGTGCAGGGCCTTTGCAAGGGGGTGGACACTAGATTAAGCCCTGCTTCATTTGCCTATTTATTCAACTGTCAGGAGGCTGAGGGGGTTAAATCGCGTGTTGGAGCAGAAAAGCTCCCCAGAGCCCGCTGCCAGTGACCGTCCCCGGCAGACAGCTCCAGCGCTCGCTGCAGCCCGGCCTCACGCCTCAAACAGTTAAAAATGGACCTTTATTCTCCCCCCTCCCTCTGCAAATGCAGAGCTGCGAGGTGGGGCGGCAGCACAACCTGACTCAGCAAAGGCTCCTGATGTCAGCGCAGCCCCATCCGTGCTGGGATTCACCCCAGCAGAGGCGAGCGGAGCCCGGGGCTGCTCCCGCAGCCAAACGCGCTCTGCAGAACCAGCCCCGCTTTAGAAAAAGAGCATTTCTGAGCTGGGGTGCATGTCTGACACCGGGAGAGGCTGGTGCACAGCGACGGACTCTCTGTCTCTAAATAATGGAGAGATTAAGCTCCACGTTGGGATCTGGTTTGTATTTGCTCCTTGCCTCGCTTCCCCATCCCCGCAGCCGGGCGTGAGTCCCAGCCCTGCATCCCGGGGCTCCCTGCACATCCCAGCTCCTCCCTATCTTCCACATTTCATCAGAGCTGGATTCAAAAAGTTAACTCTCCCAGAGTAGTTGTTTTGCTCTGTATGCCTCGATGCGCACGCTGGGCATCAATTGTGTCTGTACCAGGGAAGGTTTTAATTACAGCATCATGTTTGTGGTGCATGACCAGTTTATCCCCAATATAGGTCACTAATTTGGATTCTCTTTTAGCTGGAGGATCCCATAGTGCTGCTCGCTGTGATGTCTGGCAGTTCATACCCAACCCCAGAGCTTTTGCTCTTTCTCTCTGTGTTGTTTGAGGTAAAAAATTGAGAGAATCTGTTTTCGCCATCTAAGAAAAGTGTGTGCTTGGTTGGTTGTTGTTTCAGGGTTTTCTGTTGTTTGTTTGTTTTTTTTTCCTTGAAGAATTAAAAATGTAACATGCTTGAAAGGTATTTAGGGACTCGCAATCACACACTCAGAGGAGAGATGCCAGTGTGTACGGAGTGTGAGAGCTCAAAACACAGAGAGAGCATGTAATGCAATTTTGTTGTAGCATATCACTGAAATTTGTTGATATAATAACCTGAAATAAAGTATTAAGACAGATTGACATGCCTGGGTAGCACAGCTGAGGATTCAAATATTTAAATCTAACATGTTCTAGCTTGTTCCTGCTGAAATCGATGGAAGTTCTCCTTCACAGCTGATTGCAGTGGGGAAAAATGGATCCAGCTTATGCAGAATAATGACAGGAGGGGGAAGGGGTAAGTTCAGCTGAGTTTTCAAATGTTGATTTCTCAGCTCAAATCAGCCCTAATTTTCATCTGGCTTTTGGTGGGTTTTGGGGGTGGTCCTTTCATGCCTTTCACTTCCCCTGCCACTCTTCTATTGCCACTTTAGCTACCCAAGGGATGAGACCATATCCTGCTGGAACCTGGAGATTCTCTAAGTCTGCTCACAACGGACACAAAAACTTCAAACCACATTTTTGAGCTCCAAATCTGAAAACACAAATACTGCAAAAAATATCGTGGCCTCACGCTCAATTTATGGGCGGTCACATTCTCATTCCAGTCACCTATCTCTGTTCCAAAACCATCCTGAGCAGGCAGTCACTCTTTTACCTGCCTGATAACATAATTTTTTATTTTTTTTTTTTTCACATTAGCAATTTCTGTCTGGGCATTCAACCTCCAGACTGACTTCAAAAGATTTTAGCAACAAGGTACTGGTACTTCCATCGAGACAACAGGGATGCCCCAGTTAATCACAGGAGAAGGAGGTTCTAACCCAGATCCCAGAAAGCTGAAATCTTTCAAAAAAGACTAAACCTATTTCAAATTATTTCTACAGAGGGTGTTTTCCATCACCCCTCCCCAGGAATATTTCCTTTGATTGACTTTAAATGTTGGGAAAGTTATGGGAAATAGAAAACTTCTGTAATAAGACTCACACAAACACATTTAAAGCTCATTTATAGAAAATTCCAATTTCCATACTAAAAACTTGCCACTTCAAAGTGCTTTCTCAGACTAAAAGCCGAGTTTTCAAAAATAAAGCTGTAACAGCTACAAAAGCAGACTGGAGAATTTTGCTAGAAATGAAGGGTAAACACCTCTTTTCCTCCAAACAAAACTAAATCAAATGAATTAATGAATGGTGAGGAAAATCGACAGGAAGAGTCTTGACATTTCCAATAGGAGCTTTGAAGGGAAAGAAAATGGCAATTCCCAGACTTCCCAAATCAGCCCAAAGAAATCCTTTCTGTGGCAGAAGTCTGGAAAGAGGAAAAATGCATATCCCAAAATACTGCAACACCGCTCAGGGAAGAGCAAGAGAAAACCCTTCCACTGTTTCCAACCTCCTGACTGAAAACTCAAACCCAAATAATTTCAGGTTTTCTCTACAATGTTCCTCAGGTTTGTTTTGTTCAGGAGGGGACTGGTTTGGTTTTGTGCTGTTTTTTTGTTTCAATTACGCTTGACAGAAACCACGAACCTTTCAGCTGCTGAATCCTTCCTGCGCTGCTCGCAGCATTCCTGGGAAGGTTCATCTTTTGTGGGAAACAAAGAGTTGGGGGAGGCAGAGGGGAGCAGCAGCCCAGCCCTGCTGCCCCATCCCGCATCCAGGGGAAGGAACAAGCCCCTTGCAGGGTACGACCTTGCTCAGGATGTTCCCTTTGCATCTTCCCAGGAAAGGAAAATGCCATTCCCTGCCCCAGCCGGCTCCTTCGGGCTCGCTTTTCCATTCAAATCATCCTCCCAGGGCTGGGTGCTCACCCCAAGCCACGAGCCAAAGTGTGACTGTGTGCTCCTCAGCTGGAGGAAAACACCGCGAATACAAATTGGAGCCCGGATCGTTTCCTGGCATTATTTCACTGTAAATTTAAATGGCCTTGGCATTGTGAAGCTCTCTCATTTATTTTAAAAGCAGGAAAGATTTATTCTACCCAGAAGTCGTTCAGAGTGGGATGGAGAACAACCAGGACTTGGGTTTTGCTGTTTTCCTAACAACAGCTGAAATCAGGGCTGCCTCTGGGCTGAATTGCACAGGGGTTCAGGGTACTTTTATTTCTCTTCCAAAACACTCTCCCATTTTTCCTGTATTTCCTACACATCACCTTCTGACATAACTCCTGGTAATCTGATATGCCATTTACCTCTTTAAAACCCACCTGGGTTTTAAGTAGCAGCTTTCCTGCTTCCTGTTTTACTGTTTTACAGTACCATCCCTGTATTTCTTGTACATGCTAAACATAAACGTCCCTTCACAGGAATTCAGGTTGTTTTGGCAAACATGGGGTCGATCTCCTGGTCACAAACAAAGTGTTGCCACTGAGGACTGTTCTGAGACACAAATAAATGCTTAGCATTAACCTCCACCCTTTCAGAGATGGTAAAACAGGCTGGGGAAGGAAAAATGACCCAAAGACAAAGAACAGACCTGCAGGGAAGCTGAGCTTACTGCTCATGCTCCTGGCTGGCAGCCCCATCCCTGTACCACTACTCAAGCTCTACATCTTTGCAGGGTATGCAACTGGCATATGGAATTTTCAAAAGCAATTTTGTAAAGATGGGCTTCTATTTCTGTGCATGCCATAGCTTTTAATCCTGAGGCAGAAACAACCAATGCCTGAGTTTTGCATGCATGCATATGCATTACCTGGAAAAGGCAGGCGAATGTCAGTTTTGGGCTCCTACCAAAATCTTCCCTTAGCTGAGTTTTTCTCAGAAACTAGAGAACAGACAGAAGCAGAGCCCTTAAAATATGTTTTCAGGATTTAAAATGCAAACCGCAGCCTTCTTCCCTCCCCACTCGTACCTGGGGTGACATTCAGCACCCTGGGGACCTGCAGATCATCCCCTGGATGCAGCACAAAATGGCCAAGGTGGACATCACCCCACAGAGGTGAATGCTGAGTTTGGGCATGAGCTCTCTGTTGGATAAAAAAAAACAAACATGTGCAGGGAGAGGCTGGAGAGGAATAAGAGCAGGGATGAGAGATATTTTTGACTGACCTGCTGTTATTTGAATACACAGACTCAGGTGTGCAGAGAGGCCAGTGCTGGATATTAGCACAGAGGAGATTTCAAGCTCTGCCTTCAGGGCTGGAGCTGGACTCTCTTTGGTGATATATTCATGTCTCCCTTGTGTATAACCCATGAGCTGAGGCTGTGCCCAGGCTGTCAGGGGGAGGAATAGAGCCACACACGTGTTGGATCAGGAGAGTGAAGCATCTCTGCTTTTCATGGATGCTCAGCAGCCAGCCAGGGATACCCATTGCTGGACTCAGTTGTCCAAGCTGAGAAATTCCAGTACCACAATCATCTGAATCACTCATTTACTGCCCACTCCAGCAGGAACTGCCCTTAAAATCTGGGACAGCTGTAAACAGCCCTTCTTCTATGAACTAAGATGGATGTTTGTTCATATCTGTTCTTTTAGATGTTTATTGCCCTAACTGGCTTTTCATTAAGTCAAGAGCTCTGCTATTAATTTTAATATTCACAGTATTTATGACCTTGCAGCTATATCATCTGATTCTCTCCATGTATACATTCTAGGTCATCAACAGTTTGTTTCATTTCCCCAGCACTGGTGTTTAAAACTATCTGACCAGGTCATGCAAATTCTTACAGAGGAATTCTGAAAAATATTCAAAGCCTGATCTTTTCTCAGACACCTCTCTGAAATTTGGGGTGCTTATGCAGGTGTAGAAATTAGATTTGTTGAAATCATGCATCAAAAAATAATGTTTTCCCTTCCTAAAATAAATTTTAGAATTTCATGGTCTACTTCCACAGAGCCATTACCAGTTTAAACTTTGGGGTCTGGATAAACTTTGCTCTTCAGACACAGAGGGGAGAAAGAAAGGAAAAGATATTCACATTTTTGTAAGTGAACATCATTTTCCTGTTACTGTTTACTCTGACTCCAGCAAATTTCTTATTTTTATAACCTTTTCAATGTTTCTATCACCAAGACAGAAAAATATATTTAAAGTATGGATAACCATCACTTTTCCATTTGTGGCCTGTCTGGAAGCATCCAATCTTTGGATCAAACACCCCAGAGATATTGGTGTGGCCCAGGTGTCACCTTCCATCCTCGGCTCACAGGAGCTGGTTCAGCTCTGCAGATTTCATTGGTATCTGCGTCCACTGATGTGAGGTTTTTAATCTTGTCCTTGGGTTGGCTCTAACTATGATCTGAGCTAAGTGGCAGCAAGGTGAAAGGAAGTGATTAATATTGTTTTCAGTGGTGACTGCATCGAGCCTCTCACTCTGAGGGTCTGTGAGCGATGGCCATGGTCAACTCTGCACCGCGCAGGATTCGGCTCTGCTGATACACAATTATCTTGAATTATCACACATGCAAGAGAACAACAGAGTCTGAGGGGAAGGAAAAGTCCAGGAATTCAATCAGGCCATAAAATAATGAATCTTCTGCTGGACTAGAACTGTCATGTCATGGGAAAGGAGCAAACTGAAGAGGTGAAAATTCAACTCCTCTCCATCAGAAGGGCGGTGGGGAAGCAGGCACGGGGAGCTCTGGCTACCCCAGCTAAAACCTAACACAGAACTTCAGGCATGGAAAACACCCCTCAGACCCTCCACATCTTCGGCTTTCTTCTCACTATCTTCAGCCTCTCTCCTTGATTTGAGAGGGAGAAAAATCCTCTTGGCATTTGCAAATGGCTGTGATTCAATGCAGCGAAGGGTCTCTACCGCCGCCAGCCTCGCTGAGCCTTGGGAACTCCTTGTGCCATAATGAAATCACATCTGCTGCCGAGTAGGGAGTCAGTGAAGGATGGATGAGTGGGGATATGCTTTCTCAGGCAGGCTGGGCTCTACTACTTCCCGAGTTTAACATCCATGTGCTGCACCATCTGGGGTGTGCGTTGGCCCAGGCATCTGCCCCAGTTCCAGGGACTCTCGGGCAGGTGAGGGGGTGGAGCAGGGTGGCACAAGGACCTTTTCGCAATGGATCAGCTGCTGGGGAGTGAAGGTCCTGATCCTTTTAGGCGCTGCCTCACGAAAGCCAGTGTCACAAATGGATGCCCTGATTCCAAGGAGAGGCTGCAGCAGGCTTGGGAAAGCCCAGAGAAGTGGATGTAAAGGCAAACAATGAATCTCATCACGGATTCATGGGAACAAGTGCCTACAGAAGTAGCACTCTTAACAAATTTCTCCAAGCTCTTAGGGCATCTTAAGAGGAGATCACTCTGTCACTTGCTTTATGGGTCTGTGGAGGATCCTACTGAGTAAGAAATGCACATATTTAAGTTTATGGGAAGCTAAACCTAAAATTTAGTGCCCGGCTCTGTTCATATTTAGCTCTGTGCATTTCTGCCATATGGGGCAGTCTGGCTGACCAAACTAGAATGGGTTCTGTAATTATTTAATTGCTATTGCAGGATGATACCAGTTATTAATATTATAAATAATAAACAATATGTCTTAAACAATAAACCCCAAAGAGCAAGGCAGACAAATGTATGGGGTAAAAAAAACAATGATGTGAAAAATGCATCTCTCCAGTACAGATGAAACAGTGGCACTGTAGGAGTCAGGGAAATGGAAATACTGGGAAAATAACAGTGTGGTCCCTGCCTTGTGCTGAATCTGCACAAACACACACAATATGAAATAGTCTCTGTCCTTAGGACTTAAAATTCATGGCTTAGGCTGAGTGAGAAAATGCCTTCATGATCTCTCCCTCTCTCTCTCTCTCTCTTGTGTCTCACTGAGGAAAGATCTTCAGGGGTAGAAAGAGCCAAGACAGTGGATTTTATCATTGCCAGCTGGATTTTCACCTCCAAGCCCACTGAAAGCAGCTGGCTCACAGGAAAGGTTTGCAGAGGGACAGAGAGCAGGGGCTGCCAGAGAGAAGTACAGGAGCAAAGACCAATGCAAGGGAAAGAGAGCAAGACAAGAAAGAGGCAGGACAAGGTGTCTGCTCATCTTTTTTCAAGGGACAATGGAAAAGCTTTAGGGGGACAGGGCGGGAGAAGCTGAGCAGGGGAAGAGGCAGGGCTGGAAGTGATAAAGAAAGGTTTCACTGCCAGGGAGGGTGACATTCAACTAATCTTTCCCTGCTGGCAGTGAGCCGAGCCTGGACCTGACATCTCCACAGGCAGGTCGTGCATGGGCTCCCTGCCACAGCCACCTCCCCAGCTCTCCCTTTCTTGTCTGTGCAGAGCAAGAGAAGGGACAATGTTTAATGTGCTTTTTTTTTGATGCAAAAACACAGTGACTTGGATATAAACTACTCAATATCTCTTAAACCCCCCACCCCATCTCCTCTCCTAGAAAAACTCTTTCTTTTTTAATTTTTACTACCTCCATCAAATGAGAAGCAGAATTTCCCTCAGTGCTGGAGAGCCTGGTGTGGATTCCCATTCCTGTGCCCCTTCAGCCTGCCCCTTCCAGCTCTGGAGGCACTGGCCCACATCTCTAGCAGCAAAGCCAAGGGAAGTGCTTTAACCCTGAGGATTTTCCCTGAGTACCTTGGGAGAGGCTGGGAATTTTGGCAATGAGGAGGTAAAGAAAAGGAGATAATAATAATAAGAGGAATAAGAATACCCAAGCACTGAACTCCACATGAATGAACTGCTCCAAGGCCACCTGGTAAATGGCATGGAGACAGGTGGGACAGATTTCCTCCCTGCTCCCTGTCCTCTAATGAAAGATGCACTTTAATGTGCTGATTTCATTTGCACCAACTTCTTTTAAGTGCAAAGCAAATGCAGAAACTCCAGAGATTTGCTGCACTGCTAAAAAAAAATCTTTAGTAAATAATTAGCTAAATCATGCATTTATGTATGTAAGTTTTGTGGTGTTTACAGATTAATAATAGTAACAGACTTTGTGTGGTAGGGTAGGGGCAGTGGGTTTACACCTCATCCATGATTCCATCAAAATTGTCCAGCAAAATATGTACTTTTTTGTTCTAGGGTGTTGGTGATGACACAAAGAGAGAGAAGAAATAAATCTCACTGGGACAGTGTGGACAGGAGCGCCTGTTTGCTCTGGAAAGAACTGGAAGAAGAAGAAAAGGAGTGGATTGCTGCAGTACATTAATTGTACAAGAACTGCAAAATGGCTGAAACCAGAGGGATGATATTTATAAAGCTGTCTAGTTTTGAAAAGATCAAAGGCATAGGTAGAGAAATAATCCATTGGACGTGTCTAATTACAAAACGTATATTGTAAAAATAAAATAAAAATAGAATAAATTTTAAAAAATCCTAAAAGGAAATATCCCTGGCTGTTTCCTTTGGCTCCTGCCTCTGCCCGGGGCTCGGTCCGCAGGGCTGGGCAGGCGCTCCCCGGCAGCCGAGGCTGCAGCGCTCCCTGCACCGCCCTGCCCGCGGGGACAGCGCGGCCAAACCCCGGCATCTCCGGAGAGAGCTTGGAGCAGCTCACCGGGCCACTGTGACAG